ATAAATGCGAATGTTTGGATGGATGGATGGATGTTTGGTCGAAGATATCTCTTGAACGGCTGCAAGGATCTCGTTGAAATTTGGCATAGATATAGAACATAGTCCGGACGAAGACATAGGTTACTTATATAGCGTGTTAAATCGGTCAAGCTGTTTTGTAGGAGTATGGTAACTAACATTGTGATACGAGAATTATATAAAAAATATTATTTTAAGTGTGGTTGATTAAGGTATAATCAATCCTAATTTAAAGCTTACAAAGGTCCGAAACATGTTGATTTATCGCGCGACAATGGAAACAAAAGTACATATAAGTTCAGAATAACAATTGTAATTGTGATACCTGAGTTATGCCACTGCACTATAATGTCGTGTAATCAAAGCATAATCCTTTGTACCGGGTCAAGATAGGATTAGACGTGTCCGGGGAATTATAACAAAGCTTTTGTATGCGATGATACATCTAGCAATGTAATTTTTATTACATTTTTCTATGATTTGTCTGACTTTACTAATACTAACTGTCACCCGTTACTTCGTCCGCGTAAAATTAAAAAGAAACTTAGTTAGTAGCCTATGTATTCTACCAGATTATGTTCTATACGTATGCCAAATTTCATCGAGATCCGTGCAGCTGTTTTGAAGATACCTACACACAAAAGTCTATCCATCTAAGCATTCGCATTTATAAAATGATATATAAAAACGGCTAAACACTGCCGTATATTCGTCCGGTGGCGGCACCGACTAGTTTCGAGCCCATCGGGGGCCCTTCATCAGGATGAGTGGTACTGGTATTATTTCGCGGACGCGGCGCCCAGCTCACTGGACCGCGTCCGCGAAATCAGTTTAGTATAATGTCTCACGAAAGTTTGAATAATTTAATTCGCATTTATGATTAGTAAGAATAGTAAAGATTTTGCTTGTTTTGTACTGGAATCCAAAATTAATCAGCAAAAGAAAACATAAATACTTTCATCTCTGAATTACTGCGACTTTTTTTATCTGTATATGAAAATAGGCTTTAAATTTAGTAAAAAAAAATCCTTAATAGTAAAAAGCATTTATTTCCATTACTTGCCAAAATTAGATGAGAAAGTTTAAAAAGTTACTTAAGTAAAGTTTAAGTAGAGACATATTAAAGTGTTTATTGAGAGCAAAGCGAAGCTGTTTACTGAGTCTGCGGTTTAATCTTGTTAAATAAGACTTTTAGTGCAAAACCTCTTAAGGAGTAAATATTAAATTAGTTCTTTCAACTTATTTATTTACAAAATAACTGATAATATTCTTAACAACGAATTAAATTAGAAGAACCGAAAAATATAGTATACTAACGGTTGCCCGCGACTCCGTCAGCGCGGGATTAAAAATAGATGTTGGCCGATTCTCAGACCTACTCAATATGCTCACGAAATTTCATGAGAATCGGTCAAGCCGTTTAGGAAGAATATGGGAATGAAATTGCGACACGAGAATTTTATATATAAGATAAATAAATTAGAATAGAATAACTGCTTAATGCCACAAATATAAAGTAGTACAAAAAAGAAATTAGCAAAAGTTAAGTAAGCTATATAATATCGAAGAAGTATTTGTACTCTTATGTATTGACTAGCTGTCGCCAGCGACTACGTAAGCAAAAGAGTGTATAATAAGCCAGCATCCATCAGCTACCTTCAAGCCAAAGTCCTATCAAATCGGCCCATCAGCTTCGGAAATTACCCGGAACATTATGCGGATTTGCGGACAAACACACAAACAGTGTACAAACAAAGGTTTTACAAAATTGTTTTTTGTTATCAGCAACGCAAATACATGATGTACCTAATAAAATATTATTTTTCGATATTAGATTTTTTTATATTAAATGGCAAGGATACATTCAGACACTCCTATTTTATTAATATAGATATAGATCAAATATAATTTAATGTTTTCAAAGTTTGATGGCTTCTCAGAAGTTTCGTATGAAATATCGTAATCGAAGTAAAACTCACCTTAAACTCGGGATCTTCAAAGGTAATTTATTGCCGCGTTAAGTGTAAACTCAATTTCGTTAAAATACAAAAAAGTACGGAATATAATCTTTCTTTGCACACTCGCGCAGAACTTTACCATCGAGTAATCAATATACTAGAAAATACTTTTCTTAAGCTAGCAATTAAATAGGTTATAGGTAAGTTTATTTGGCATATTCTTCCTTAAAAAATAATTACAATATTTGAACTTATCGTACGCTTTGAAACGTTAAAGACAAAAGAAGTAGAGAATCCTAAATTTGAGCATTAATTTTTATTTACAGAGTAGAATGACATCTAGTAATAGTAGCCAAAAAATAAAGATTTTTTTTTCAGTAATTGATTTTGCTGGATTTTTTTTTCAAATTTTAATTTGACAAACCATTTAAACGAACTCCACAGTTAGTGGAAGTAGACTTTAATTTACTCGAGACTTTACATAATTGTAGAATTTCAATTACAATCATTAATGGTCTGTAGCCTATTTCAAATTGTTGCCTCGAGGGCCCTTAGGGACAATTATTGGAGGCTTAGCGAGGGATTTCGGCCCTTTCTAGGACCACTTGTATTTTATTCCCATTTAATGACAGACTCTAATATAGGTAACAATATTTAACTGAAATTGCTTTGATTTCTTACTTTAAATAAGGAAATACAAGAATATTTTGATATTTTAATAGGATTGTTTTATAAAATAATCGATTTTATACCAAATTATATCGAGAGATCAAAGAGAATCTAGTAGTTATTTCAACATCATCATCAGCTCACTATACGTCCCCACCGAGGGGCTCGGAGCCTACCCTGAGTTGAGGGTGATTAGGCCATAGTTATTTGATGAGAATTAAAATAAGAATTGACAATCTTTAAGAAAATATAAATACACAGTAAGTTTTCGCTGCGACTCAATTAAATCAGCAGACAGGCTTCGTCTACTGACTTCTATAGAATTGACTCTTATTATTTTTATAATAACTTGGTCCAAGTTGCGATAGAACGTTATATTTTATATGAGAGAGAGAGACGAATAAATTAATTCCTCGTTCGATTTAACACATACAAAAACCTACCCCATATTCATCTATTATAATTAACATTTTACAGTTGTAACGTTAGCAAATAAAATTAATTTAAAGGTATAAATAGATCAAGTAAGTACTCAAAAGTAAAAATGTCCGTCAAAGTAAAATTAGCGCACATAGTTGTCGAATTGACTTACACAATTATCTCTTTGAATTTGTTTAGTTCAGAATTGACGGTCTACAATATGCATAGATTATTTTTTAAATCATAAGGTGGCAAACGAGCGAGCGGCCACCTGAAATCGCTGAAATAGCGAAGTGACCGTTGCCCATAGACATACGCAATTGCATGCGTTGCCTACCTTTAATCGACGGAGAAGAGGATGCACAGAAAGAAAAAAATTTCCATTCCATGCATCCCCTCATCCGAAAAGTCCACTTCCTCTTCCCATCCTTTCCTTATAAGATAAAGGGTGGGAAGGGAAAGAGGACTAAATTAGGCCACCGGGACGCACACTCATCAGACGAAACGCGGAATTGCTTCCACTTCACGCCTGTCTTCTGTGTGGTCGTGGTATTTCACCGGGCGAGCCGGGCCGATTCGTGCGAAGATGTTAAAGCGGGCTCTAACACTGTTAGATAAGATAACATATAATTTAGGTAATAGATAATTTAGACAAACATAAACAACTAGGAATATAGAAAGGTTCACAATATTTCAATGTCAGTAAGAAATAATAAAAATAATATCCAACAAACGATAACAATACATTTCTTGCGTTAATGTATTATTTTCTTTGCGTTCTATTTGATTATATTCGTGTTTCCTTTGTAAAAAGGACCTGTTTACAGGGGAAACACTTTTTGAACACAACAAAAACGGGAAAAGTAATGTTCGGAAGAATGTGATGGTATTAAAATTACAAAACAGATGAGCAAAATAAAATGGTTAGCGGTTAATTGTGAAAGTGGCAATGATTAAGAAGGGGATAACAATAGAAGATAGATCGATCTGGAAGCCAAAAACTTGGTGTGCGATCCCACTTGAGAAGGTCAAGGACAGGAACAGCACATAGAGAAGGTAAGTGAATAGAAAAGGGCCACCTAAATTCTGTGAAGTGACAGCTAACCATAGATATATTTAAAGTTGTCTTTGTCACATGTTATCCCTCCTCAACACGCCACTGCACACTACCAACTTAGATCGTTATTTCCTAAAAGAGGTTAAACTAAAGGACATAAACTTTCTATAAGTATCCTTGTTAGGAATCAGCCGAAATAGATGTCTGCTTCCAAGCACTATTAATTGTATATCCCTTGAATGTCCTCGTAAGCTTTTGAGGCTGGATATAATGAGACATTGTTTTACAAAGAGCTGTGCTAAAAATCAGACGTAAAATATTTGGAATTTTGCAATACAAATTCATCAAGTATTATCACGGGCCAATACAGTATTATTAAGCGGGATTATTTTACGAATATATTTGTTTTATTAAATAAAAGTTCGGTCGTATTAACAATAATATAGTGTACAGACACATGTCTAGGATTCGATCCGATACTCATCCAATGTCGAGCCACGTAACCACTGGGCTATCGCTACTAAATCACGTAAAATCGTAAATTTTTTTCCATTAAATAGTATTAAATGCTTAAAAAAGAATATATGTAACATTCAACTTAAATAATCTATACGAAAGTTATTATTTTTAAAGGAAAAAATAAAAAATCCCTTTAACTATGTATCTTAATATCAAAATATAATCCGTCAATTTCGTTTAATTTATAAAAATCAATGTATTTTTTTCCGAAATAAATTGCATTATATTAAAATTACATTCATATAAAATATTGTATTATGAAAATTAATTATCCAATCCTTAAAATAATAATCATACTTCCGAAATTAATTAATTAAACATAAAAAACTATTAACAAAAATTCTACAAAAAAAACTTACTCAGTGCACGACAGTAATCCGTATTTAGTCACTACACTGCACAGTGCAACACGCACACTTCAGGTGAAATTCAGCTGAAAAACGCTGAAACGCGGGTCTCCGATGCCGCGCCGACCCGGACTGAGCGAGCTCACCACTGAACATAGATTAGGAACGATACCGAGGTGAAACACAGACGCGACACCTCGAATATTGAAATAGCCTTTACTAAAAGCATACATACTTTTAATGTTAAGTTAGTTTATACACGATAAGTAATTTTGAACAATACAAGACTTATTTATAAATTAAAAAAAATATCCTATGCTACTTTACAATTAACTTCCAGAAACCTATTTATATCTTCATTCACAAAACAAAAAAAATCCTATTCTAATAATAAAATAAATAATTTTTATACTGTTAAATAAAACATGACATATACTTTTACTTATTTGTCTTGATAAAAAAAACTATTAATCAATCGAAAAACGAAACAAAGTCACTAAATTTAATGCGTTGGAAACATTTTTACGCGCATCGTTTAGTAGTCTCACTAACCAAAACTTTAACTATAGTAAAGTCCGAGTGAATTTAGCGTCACTTAATCTGTCATTGTTAATGAAAATACATAGTAATTAAGTCAGCTTAATTAGAAGTTGCATTGTTACTTAACTTCCGCTGTTTGGTTAATAATGTAGTCTTGTTATGTAAATAAATATTTTAGGTTATCTCCAATCTTTACGCGGGAAGCGTGGGAATGAAGAAAGTAATTGTTATATAAGATAGGTTTATTGTCGTTTATTTTAAAGTGTACTTATATGCTTTAGTAAAAAGAGTTATCAATTTTTTTCGGAAATTATAAAATAAAAGGAGCGAAGTTGAATATCACCCTCTCAGAGACTGAATTTTCTTAACTATAAAATGTTTAACACTGTCCGCTCTACTTTGTTATTCCTTCTTCGCTCTCTTTCTATCACGTAACATATTCACATCTTTCTCTTTCACTAACGCATTCGAAGGGTAGACGTAAGCGCGAGGGAAAATTTTGATCAGTCTCAGGTTGTCCTGTTGGTGAGGCTACACTGTCAGGGCATGCCTGTAAGACCAATAATAGCAAGACTTTTGAACACAGCGGACAACTCGCCCTGGGCCAGCATGGTTAACTAAGGCCTGGCCTAACTTGTGTAAGCTGACATCGACGTGACTATTTGAAATAAGTAAATTTGTTTTGGACCATATGGTGATGTATAATGAAACATAAATAAAAAATATTGTATTATTGCAGTCATTTTCTTTCATAAAGCCTTAATTAAATTTTAAATATATAATAGACGTAAACATAAACATATATTATGTTTCTTTAATGTTCACCATTAAACCTAAAGAAAAGAAATTGTCTCCTTGCATAATATTTCTTTTAACCATTTCCCTAGCTCTACCTTGTGTTACTTCAAGACAATAGTCACACAGCGGGATTCAAATCCATGACCTCGTGATCAGATCTCTTAACCTTAACCATTAGGCTATTGGCTTTTCCCAAATGTTTATTGATAAAGTAATATACTTCTTCTCATTTCTTCTACTCATACTGGGGATATAATTAATATTAACAAAATGGTAGAGTAGGTCTTATAACTTGTCCTCCATAGTTTTAGTTATAGGAAGAATTAAATCTGAAAGCACACAAGGACAAACATGCAAACAGAGTAATTATCACTAAGGATGAGTAGTGTAGATTAGTATGAAAAATCTAAACTACCACTATTTTATCTAATGACTATCTGTCGTACTCATAGTTATTTATTGCTTACTTAAATAGCATATTTCTCATAATAAATCAATTTCTAGTACTTTTCTACTCTGTTGGACATTATTACTACTTATTCTTTGATACTGCTTGCTTTAACGAGTTCAAAGTAAACAATAACATTAAGATCACGACAAATATGTGTTAACTTAACAAGGCCGCTACACGTCTGGAATACAGAACATTATCGTCAAGGTCGTATTTGTAATGTGTCAAAACTATGAACCGGATATGACTGATGTAAATCACTTTGAAAATGGGTTATAGTTATTATTTATGGTAGACTAACTGTTGCCCGCGACTCCGTCCAGGTACGGTTAGGAAAACATGATTGTGTTCCTATGTGTTCTTTCAGACTATGTTCTATATGTATGCCAAATATAACAGAGTTCCGTTCAGCCGTTCTAGAGATAGCTTCAAACAAATCCATCTATCTATTCATTCATCTAAATATCGTATTCTTTTCATTGGTTTAATTCAAATAATTGTTAAATATGTACTCTTTTAAAACATAAAGATATTTTTAAAAGTTCGGTTAAGGTATTGGAAACTGATTTTAGATTTACGAAAGATTTATTAAGCAAGTAAATGTTGAACTTAAATAATAGACGCTGCGTTATCGTTTGAAGTTTTACGTTTGAATAAATAAAGCGGCTTTAATGTAAACAAGGATTATTTAATTAAGTCTTGTTTAGTATTCATAATTAATCTCTATTTACTGTTAACGAGAAGATTAAGTAAGTATATATACATTATGTATTTATTTAATATCTTCGTAGTTTTGTGTGGCATATTGAAATATCGTGCATAAAATTTTGGTTTGTGGTTTACTTAATAAAGGTGATTAGATACATCTATGTATATAAAATAAAGTTTTTTTAGTTGCACTATTTATAATTCAAGAACGGCTTTACCGATATGTCCGAAAATTGGCGATGAGGTAGCTTAGAGCCAGGAGAGGGATATAGGATTTTTTTTTTCAAATTTATGCTTTGAAGAGCTGCTTTTTATTTAACTTACTACTAATTATAAATGTGTATGTTTAGATGGATGTGATGTGGATGGATGGATGCGTGTTTGAAGATATCTCTAGATCAGCTGAATGGATCTCGATTAAATTTGGCATACGTATAGAACATCGTCTGAACACTTAATTAGTGTAGCCTATTTACACTAATTAAGTTTTTTATATATATCCACTAGTCATAATATAAATATATGTATATTTTAGAGCATGTACTATATTTTCTTCCATCGCGCTTTCTTTTTAGTATTTTTCTATTAATTTTCCGATGTTAGGTTACAAATGCAAATTGAAATACAATAACCTTTATAGCAATGTTAAACTTAATTTCGTAGTCAGTTGACATATTGAATAAATTACTATTAGCGCCACACCATTCTCTACCCTACCTCTCCACCATGATACTCCCCCCTCTGCTAGGGCTGTCACCTTTTTGTGGATTGACTAGATTTCGTTAAAATAGCGAATTGTCTGCTCCCCATAAACAGGAAAAAATTGAAAAGTTTACAGCTGTGCTATCAACCTTTAATGGTTGAAGAATGGAAGTTCAGAAAGAGAATTCTCCTTCCATAACCTCTCCAACGTCGTCTTTTGTTATAAGATAAGAATAGGAAGGGCAAGGGGACTATATCTTATCCTTCAGAACACACATATCTAAAAAAAAGACCACATATCTGTTTGGTCGTGGTGCATCGAGCGTACGCAGCAGTTGCTACAAACTCTATCAGTTTTGTTTTCTCATCGCTTGTGTTTTAGCATCCCTATCTCTACCACCCAGTGTTAAGCTACTTATCAAGTTTTATAATAAGAGATTATGAAACTATCATACAGCGCAAATTGCACTTCAAGCGATATTGACGCACGTATTACTAGATTACGTTACGTAATCTATTAGATCGCGAACTTTTATTCTAATATTACGAGTCATTCATACGATATTGTACCTCCCAGGAGAAAGAATATGTCCTACTTTTCTTTTGTATTTATCTTTTAAAATTTGCTTAATATTAACTTTTGTCTTTGTTTACGTTAAAGATAAGATAAAATTAAATTTAAAACTTAAACAGAAAATAAAAGGAAAATAGTTTCCAAATATTTTTAATATTTTTTCGCCTTTTTTTGGTACGACTTTGAGTCTATTATCTTCAACATAAATTTACGGAAACGTACTTGTACTATGAACATTAAAATTGCATCACAAGTATATGTGTTAAAAGCGAGCACAGAAACGCTTCACGGGTGTCTGTTTTTTTTTTAATCTATGTAGTGGTGGCTGTAGGGGTGGTTAAGGGGGGATGCAATATACTTTCCTCGCGAACAACAACGTTACAGCACAGCTATACGGTGCGGCACTTATGCTAGTTTCACACGAGTACACAACAGAGAAGCAGTGCAATAGGATAGTACAGTAGAACACTGCAATACTGCAAGTAAATACATAAAGCGGAAACTTTACTGTTTTGGCAGTAAATCATCGAAGCTAATACTGTATCCACAACTTTGAGTTGTCGATGCGAGCCGTCTATTCAGTCACTACTACCATAGCGACTACAAACATTTCGACTGTATAAATTGGCTCCACCATTTTCATTACTATAACGACTTTTTCGTGATAATCTAAACAAGTTTTGCAAGCAATTGGCTTTGGAATGACATCGACGCATGCCTGCATATGAAGCTCTATGACATTACATTACGTCTGTCGCTTAGCGATTAAATCGCGGGATTTCGTTGCTTTGTGTACTGCACAGTACACTGTTCTATCTCACTTTTCTACCCTTGTGTGAAATTAGCATTAGTGCAGTGACGAGTACGTTCAGTTCGTAGTTAGAACTATCTGAACAGTTATTTGCTAATGATCACTACAATATCATATTGTGTTCACTTAACGTCAGTTAAATTTTACTAGTTGACTGGATGTAAAGCTTTACTTAACCATATATTTTGACTCTTAATCGTTTTCCAATAACATATTGTGATTCAGTAAAATTTATACAAATAACTTCTTGTGTTGTGGCTCAAAGACTAATTTATTAATCTTAAGAGTTGTGAGTGAAAATTCCTATCGATATCGACAAAATGCATATGACTGTACAGCGCCTCTGTCGGGGGTAAACTAAACCAATAAGTCTCATACTTTGTCAATACGATACGATTATTTTCTCGATAATTTTCGTACTAGGCCCTCTGTTCAGTTTACATAGATACTTTTGTTTTTTAAAAATATATTTTGATTTTATTTGATGTTTTAGAAATGAGTAAAGTCCAATGACGAAAGCAAAGTGTTATGTTTCT